TATCACGCCCCCGCCGCTCTCTCTCTTCTCGTATACACGTGTCTCTCCCTTCGACTTCCTTTCCGAGATCTCGTCCCGTTCTGTCCTTGTCTCCTCCTAGCCTATGCGCTCTGTCTCGAAACTACGCGCCGCGACATCTTCGAAAGAATGCGGATCGACGACGACGTCTTCAGGGAAAGAACGAAGTCACGTATGATATTCGCTATCGAATCGGCCTGAAACCGATCCCGGGTCCGATTGCTTTTTCTTGTAATGGGCGGTACCCTCGATTAACGGCTCCTTCGAGAATACCGATCGACTACGCGCGCGAGGGGGAGGAGGGTTACTGCACTGGTCACGTTCGATCTTCAACGTGCGGTGCCCCGGCTCATTACGAGGCGCGGACGATCGAACTGGTTCGACGCGCCGATACGATCTCTCTCTCGTTTCGAACGCTTCTAAGCGAGCCTCTGCTTTGCTACGAGTCTCTCTCTCTCTCTCTCTCTCTCTCTCTCTCTCTCTCTCGGTGCACAGTTAAGAATTAAAAGAAAAACGCGGGTAATTGTACTCCGTGTCCCTGCCTCGTTCTATTTCACGAAGCACGCTTCTCGGTCGGTAAGAGAGAATAACAGAGAAATTCAACCGATCCAAGGTATTAATCCTTTTAAACGCGATCGATTCAAACGCACGTGTGTCGATTCGGAACACCAAATTACAAGCGACGAATGTTATTGCGCGCGACCTGCTAGGTATTGGCTTTGTTTATAGCCTATATAATGTAACACGTGCAATAAGAAATCTTTTATTTATCAGATATTTACCACTATTACTTTATACGTACTTCGAATGCTAGGGATTTTTGTAGCACTTTTGTTCGAAGGATAATACAAACTTGCACGTTTTCAATGTACAGTGGCGTACCTTTCACAGAAGGATGGAAGACGTCAAACAAACAATATGGCTTTAATCACAGAACATACACTAATCTACATTCAGTCGAATCGTAAGAATTCTTTTCTTCCAACACTGTTATGATACCGACATGTCCTTCTTGTAGTTATTCCTTCCTGACCTTGAAGTCTCTTCTCACGAAACTACCAACAGTTTCGCTCCAGTAATGTTATATCGTTAACGTAACTTTTCTTCGATTTCCTGTTAGAAATACTTTCGTTTGCTTACAAGTAAAACTTCACTGTTTCCGATGAAATTCAACGAGGACTAGTTGAATGGAGCAGTAAACAAGAAACACATCACGTATGTACAGATGGGGAAAAACGATACAAATTCATGAAAATATCAAGTTACGTGCGTGAAATAGAAATCGACGAACGTTAAAATTACACGAGTTAGTGTATTCCAGTTTCTTTTTTCTTTTTAGAATGGGCGACAGGGACACGTGAGTAACAGAGAGAGAGGACGACCGAAACCGCAGACAGAAACGGCGGTCTCCGGGATCGTTCGTGCCGGTATTGAAACCGTAACCTTGAAAACTCCGAAAGTGGAAAGGACGACACGGCCGGAAAGCACGCGGTCCAGCGTTCACAATAAAACCTGCGTGTTATTTCTATCGCACGCTGCTCCTTTTCACTGCTTTCAAAACATATCGGAAACAATATGCCGAACTTGATTTCACTGAATTCACGTCGCTCATAATCACGGTAAGCAAAGCGTCATCAGTGCTCGAAACAAGATACGCGAAACACGCAACTACAACACGACATTACCGCGACGCGATACACGGCTCGACTGACGCGAGACATTCGCCAGAGGGAGCTCCACTCGTCTCTTCTTCGTGCCGTGTCCCCACTCCATTAACCGGCATATCCCCACCACGTGTTCTATCATCCCCACTACTGGTAGTTGAAGCAACTTGGTCCAGCGAGATCCTGTTGATGCGCTCCTGCGCTGCCACGATGCAACAGCCGCGTCCTTCCTCTCTTTCTTTTCTTTTCTCCTGCTCGTTCTTTCTCTAGTTCGACACGGGTACATTACACAGCAAAAACGGTAGCTTTATAGTCCAGCAGAAGACGTTGCTTTAAAATATGTTCGATCTGTAAGAATTCTATAATTTGAACGATGAAATTTCACGGAATAATATTGGATCGTTTTGGAAAGTTAGTTATGGACTGGGGTCAAATTAAACGTAATATAGATAAGTAATAAAAGTGGTATTAATGGTCCTTAGTAGTTTGTAACTTTGTTAGCTATTGAGCACCGTGTGATTAATAATTTCGTAACAACGTAGGAATAGATGGCCATTTGTTTCTTGTGAATTGTATATTAATCATATACTTGTATAATGAAATTACAAAATTAATAAACAGTGGAATTGGTTTCTGATTCATGTCACAACTCAATAGATCGCGTAATAAAATTAGAAAACAATATAGTTGAATAAGTCTAACGTAATTTTTCAAAATTATATATTATTTATTATCATTTATATCATTTATATCATTATTTTATATCATTTAATATTATTTATATCATAAAATTGATACGATAGGAAGTATTCGGTAAAAATCATTTTCTTATTTGTGGGATCTTCGTATATGTACGACTCCAAAATTCGTATTCGTATACGAATAAAAGAAAGGCTATTGTTTGAATTTAACGAGGGCGCTGAACAGATAGAGCGGTAGGTTGATTTCAAGTAGCGATGTTCGTGCCGTGCACACGCCCAGAACGCATTACGCTAGGGAGAAGGAGAGTTAGCATCGATGACTATCTACGAACATCGCAATCAGGGTCTTTGTTAGAATTGTGGCATTTATAAATGAATACCTAACAGAAATGGTATGAGACTCACGACCCGTCGAGCCAATAATCTATAACACCCTGCCACATAAATGGCTCGCACACTGCCTATTATATTACGTTCAAACAAAATTAAATTGCATCAAGCAGTGAATGTGACAGGGAAAGAGCCCATTATCCAACGTTCCACTGCATAAAAATATAGATTCTTTCTTTTTCAAAATTATCTATTGATGATGAATGATATTCAGAATTTGTATTATTGATACAGTTCACAAAAATTCCTTTGTGAATAACATTGTTATAACACGTAACGTTATAGGTCAAGAGCAAGGTATTACTAATAATAATATAGTTGTCATATTTAATACAATATTCAGATTATAAAATGTATGAAAGTAACTTGCTACTTCGAAAATCTAGAAAAGCCTTTTAATAGAAACTCTTTCATAAAAATGAACTGATAGAATGTCAAAGATTCTGCTTTGCTGATTTTCATGTTTCATATTGCATATCAAACATATACATAGAAAAATTATATGTGTGGCGTAGTGAATTTAAGGGGATTGAAGTCATATTGCTTTTTAAGTGTATACTAACGTTTAGAAAATTATATTAATTTTATTTAAAATCATTCTTAAGAACATCCTATGTTATACATCACACACGACAGATTTCTGCAAATTATAAATATTATAATTATTATGTACATCAGTTAGCTATATTTGTCGTTTTTAATAAAAAATATAAATAGAAAATGGACTAATTACTAGTTTCTAAAACATTTCATATAATTTGTTTTCATTTTACATATAATTAATGGATGCAGTCATGTGAATAGTGATCCGTTAACGCAAATGATATGTAGATGATTTCTAAATATCAGATATAATTAGATGCATTCGTGTTTAGATGTCTCGCCGTTCACATTCATAACATGGTGCTCAAATGACAAGTGACAATGGTAGACGTACAGAACTTTCCTACGGTTATCGTCGGTATTTATGCGAGTAAAGATGGAATTAATTGAATGATCCGCATGGACGTCCTGTCCTGCTATGACGCCAAAGCAGGGAGTGACAAGTAGCTCTCAATAACGTGATATGACATCGCGTGCCATGGACACGAAGGACCCCCTCAATGCAGACCTCGCTATTTCCTCGCTTCGGTCGAGTAATTTGCTTTTGGACCAGGGATGAGATTGAAAGATGAGTTACCTGTCAATATATTAACTCGTTTCCGCAATATGGGAAATTACTACGAGACAGACAATGGATTTGCTTCGTGTGACACCTTCGATGTGCTTATATGATCCTGTGATGACGTCTAATATATTAAACTTCCAAAAAAATTAACTAGGCAACTTAGAATTTACAGAATTCCACTGGTCTAAATATTTAATGATTATAATTTTAAACAATGATTCTTGTTGTAATTTCGAGACTTTGAAATGTTCGCTGATTATTCACTACGCGAAAAAATAAAATAAAATTTATGTTAAAAATCGTAACAGTATAACTTGTACTGAAATTCACAATTATCGTACTTTTTCAGTGTTTCTATTGGAAGTTAGATAGGCTTACATTAGACTTAATGGTATAAATTTATTGACTATTCTGTGTTAAGTTATAAAAATTATAAAATGGATTATGTAAATTAAATTGAATGATAGGATCGCCAAATGTTAAATCATTTTTGTACAAATAGATGGTTTAATACAATATCTCTGTTTAAGTGTCCTCGTGGTTTCCTTTTGAATATATAGAATTCGTGCGCTGTTATAGTTGACTGCGTATGATAAAATGTGACCTCTGAACCTAAGCAATCACTACATATGTATGGAGTAGGGTAAAACTTATATATTCCCCGTGGATTCTAGTTAAATGCTTGTTTTATCTCCAATCTGTACAATGATGGAGCGCAGTGGAAATAAAAGCTTATACGGGAGAAGTTTAATAGCAAAATCATAGTACAATAATAAATTAAATTTACCAGGAACGATAATAATGAGAAACAACATCCATTTCTCTACTCGTCCCCATGTTTAATAAATCATCTACATTTCTTTCACATTACATTAAATTTAATACGTATAAAATAGTACATAATTAAAATATAGATAATATAAAATATTAATATTACTTTTACGTTTTCACGTATCAGGACAGAGAGCAGAAAATTGAAAGGTGATAAGCAGTGACATAATTTCGTCGATATTTCATGTACGTGCTCATTTCTCCCTGTGAGATTGAAATCAATTTTTCCGGCAGATTTTTTCAAGTGCACTTACCATTCTGAATTTGTATCACGTTACCTGTCACGTTCACGCATTCCGCACCACGCTGATTCCATTCGAAAATAAATTTAAACAGATTGGTTCGTCAGTCGTTCTATCCTGCAACTCTTATACGAATACCTATCTATTGTTTACGAGTACGGTGACGTGGTGTTTACGGTGTGTTTTACTGTTTCAAAACAATCAATAAAACCATGCGTCCTGTTCCCATGTGGCGTTATGTCGTTCGAAAACGCCTGTGTCCCTGCAACGAGATCTACAACCTTACGTGTAAGCCAATAATAGTAAAAAACAGCTTTTTATTAGGCAGTGATAGTTTATCAGTAACACCATTTAGATGTCAGTATTTGGGCAGAAATTACATAACGATAACATAGAAAATAAATTTATTAAGAATTAAAGCTACAATATGTTTTCGATAATATACTTTTGTCTTAAAGCTAAAGATCTGATAATTTCAACATCCTCACATATGTATTACTTTATAAATTATGTTTGCGTATTAAGAGCTATTAATTGCACGACATGTTTTCCAAGTTATAGTGATTTTTGTTCTGTTTTAATAATAACCGTTAATATGTTAAAAGGATTCGTCACTTTCACTTAATAAAATGTGGTTTTATACACACGCATTTTTCAATTTTTTTATCGAACCTTTCTGGATCACTGTACTCTTGTGTACAGCTGGCGACATCTATTGGTGGAAGATTTACGTTTAAAAGGTCAGAACAAATTATATGCAATCATATCCATCAATGCAAAAGAGTCGATCACGAAATAGAACTCTAATGGATGATACGTTATATTTTATTCAAATTATTATTTAAGATGTATTAATATAATTTTTATTGATTTATAATAGTAACTTACTCATATCTTATACTTACAATATTTTTATACTATTGAGCTTATAATTTGCTCGCGTTATTTATGCGTTTTGCAAGCATTTCAACTGTCATTCTAATATATCGTCGACTTTAGATTTATATAACACGACGTGTTGTAAATAAATTTTATGAATATCCATTTTCCGACTTTTCATAATGAAAGTTCATTCAATAAGAAAAGATTCAGAATCTTGGAATCATGTGATATTAACTGGTAGTAATGAAAAATGCTTAATAGAGATAGAATTGGAAATCAATAGTTTTAGTTTGAAATGCGGAAATCTATATTCGTTTTCACAAGAGAAATTCGATATATTCTTACTCCTTACAGCTTCACAGAATACTCATAACATCATGAATTGATATATATTTTATTCAACTGTTTCGTATCCGATCTGTTATTCACTTCCACGAGCTGTTGAATTGTTTGTACAATAATTAGATTCTATTTTTCTTCCAGAAACTCATCACAGATTGAAAATCACATTTTATAAATCTCCAGTGGTATTTTACAATTAGATACTATCTGTATTTAAAGTTTCCCTTGAATCATATCTTCAAAAATATTTTTTATTTATAGTACGTATGAAAATGTTGTACTCGGTTCTTAGATAGAATTAATTAGATATCTATCCGTAATGAAATTTATGTTTGTCTGTTTGCCTATTCCTGTGACAATGAAGTAACAGCCAATACTTCATTAATTCGACGTCGTAGCGGAGTATAGTAATTAGCTAATTCATTTCTACGCTCTTTCTCTCCTTAGGATGTAAACAGACAACATCTCCAAGGAAAGTGATTCACGCTGTCGCCAACTAAAACAAA